ATTAAAATTTAAAGTGAGCTTCCTCATAAAGCCATTGTATTGAAGATTAAGCAAAAGACTATACCCAAATAGTGAAACAAACATGCTTATCTGTTTCCAGGTGATTTCTTTGGAAGCATTCCCATAATCCAATGGCATCTGGGTCATTTAAATACAGTTCGCAGCCACATGGGGTTTAGTTGTAGAATAATGATGCTCACATGGTCAGGATTATGTTTAAAGGTCACTGAAGGCAGGATAGAAAAGGTAAAAAAAGAATAGCTATTTTTGTGGGCGCCAAACATAGATTAAAAACTGTTGTCTCTTCTGCTTGAACTTAAACAACTGGCAGCCATATGTGTAAGCAAACGAAGTTTTTCTACTTTGCTGTTACACAGATTGTTCACCGATCTTTATTTCTTTGCCAGTTGGCTGTGGAACGAGAAAGAACAATAGATTCAAGATAAAGTTATTTTGCATTTGTGATGAATGCAAGTACTGTACTATCTACCTTGCATTATACTAAAATGCACACATACACACACACAACAGGAAAAAAAAGAAAAATTAAGCCACATTTTTAATTAACTGATAAACTATTAATCAAATTTTTGCAATGTTAGGTGACACATTATTCATTTAGATAGAATGACTGTGAACTTAACTAATCAAATCTGATTTGCTCACATATGCTTGATTGAAATACATTTTAACTAGCATATACAAAGAGAAAATCTTGGATTTCTTACCTAATCTTCAGAGTATGCTGCTGAGTTAATAAGGGCAGTATTTTTTTTTAGATGAGACCACCATTTCTTAATCTGCATATCAAAATCAAGGGCAACTTAATTGCAAAACACATATTCCTGAAATCTAATCATTATACTGCTTTAGGGTATTTTATTGAAGCATGTTAAATTATGGACAGAATATTAATGATGAAGCTAATCAAACCCAATTAGTCACTTCTAACAATAGTCACATAAATATACAAGTCAGGTACTAAAATACTGTAGATGAGGTTTTAATTTTTTTATATGGAATTCACGTGGTATTTATGAATTACATACTTGTTATTTTAAATCTAAAATCCAAGATGGGTCATTTCAAAGAAAATGAGGTCTTGAAGACAAATAGCTGCCTTTTACAGTACTTGTACTGATATTCTTGATTTTGTGATATATTATATAAGTACTAAATTTGCCATACTGTTACATTTATGGGGAAGTGACTAATGGGTGATATGCTGAAACATTAGTAAGCAAAAACACATTTAGGATTTTCATGTAGAAAACGTGGAAATACAGTTTCCCTGTCACAATATCAGCATGATGTATATACAGCTATGTGATTTGACTTTTAGGGTCCAATATAGTGGTGAATAAAAAGTGAATAATTTCTAGGCCCAGAGTTGGGAGCATATTATCAGCAGCTGCTTGGTTAGAATTGGAAACTCAGGTCTGGGCACTATTGCCTTGTGTAGGTAAGTTATCTAGGCCTTAAGTTGGTTGGAGCATCTTCATGGACTGTGTGGACCTCAGACTGGCCTTCCTCCTACTATTAGACAGAGTGAGGCAGTTGCCTGAGATGGCAGAACCTGTTGGAAGAAAGATCCAGTAAGTATCACACACAGTAAGTATCACACAACCTTGCTGTCTATCCTAAGGTAGTCTGTTGGCAAGAGGTATCTTAAAACACATTGCTCTATCAGTAGTACTGATTCAGCACTAGTCACCTTCTGAACATACATTTAACTCACAACTAAGCTATAAAACAAGACGGGAAGCAAAACACTGGCAGAACACTCTCCAGATCTAATTACCAATTTTGTTGTTCTATTTTGGACTAATTTAAACTTCTGGACTGTTTTCAGAGGCAGCTGTGTACACAACACAGTAATCCAACAGGAGTTGAGCAGGACATATCTAATCTCTCCCTTTTCCTCAAGTGAGTAACAGTGATGTAATAGAAACACTCCTGAGGTATTAAAAATCAGCCAGCAAATCTGATCCAAGAACTCTCATGATGACATCATCACCTGAACAGTTCTGCCATATTTGTGCAGGAAGCTATCATTGGTTAGCTTTCTTCCAATTCTTTCATTTGGTCAAAGCTGGATAGTAGCTTAGAGGCCAGCCATCAACCTGGTTTTGCAAGTGAGACCTTCAAGGTACAATGAATATAAAATTTGCTTAAATTCTCAGAGCTCTCTGCAGAGAAATCTTGGGCGTGGTTGTTATTATATATGAGCATTGCCAAGCAACATTTCTGGAATTGTTTTATTTTTTTTCACCCAAAGTTTGTTAAAGAAAAAACCAAACCTGAAAGGAATCATGTTCTTGAATAATTTCCTAGCTCTCTTTTAAATACAAAGATACCACCCACTAGACTGATTTTGGTTTTGGCATAAAGAAGGACAAAATCTGTGGTTTCTCTCAATTTGTTTCACAGCCTCACTACAATTCCTGTTTTTAATAAAGATTAATGCAATGCTCGGTAGCATTTGGAAGTTGACTGGGAAGAATTAAACAAAACTGGTAGGGAGTCGGTAAATAGATGCCTTGGGCAAGAGAATATGGTTTGTTAGAACAGAACAGATGGTAAGGAACAATACAAAAGGTGAAAGAAATAAAAGGAGTAGTGGGCACTAAGGGAAATAGATTGAATTTTAGCTGTTAAAAAGCTTTGGGTTTGTTAATGAATATATTATATCAAATGAACAGGGAAAATACATTCAAAGGGTTTGCGTCATTATCAGAAACAAAACATAATATGCAAACAAAAGGGATAGGTAAGAATTTTAAAGTAAGCAGTTGATAATGAACTCTTAAAAATGAAGCTGCTTACTCTCGTGTGGGCCTCAAGGCAAAAAAACCGGGGGGGGGGTCCTTTCCTCCTCCTCGGGGTGATGTAGTTGCATGAATTCATGACATTCCAGGCAAACTGGTTGGTTGAGCTTATTTTCTGAGGACATCTTGTCCAGTTTTTCTCCTTAAAGCAAAGTCACACCAGCGTACACTTGGAACTGACAGTCCTGTTTGTAAATAGATTGCAACCCGATACAATTGATTAGCTCACCAAATTTCTTCCTGTGGAATGGAGGAAAGAGAAAGAAGCTGAAATGAAGCTTTGGAACATGAGGATAGGTAAGAAAACAAGCGACTGTGAGTGCTTGTCTTGATGGAAAGGCAGGTATGAATTTATTAATATACAAATTAAAAATACCCACACTTGAATCACAAAGCTATATACAGTGTCACACTGAACTAACAAGAACAACCATACCCAATTCCTCATCTTGTCTTAGCTTAGTGTGTGAACCAAACCTCTGTATCCTGCTATCTGATACTGTATCTACGGGTACCGGTATCAGTCTAATATCAGATTTTACTTTTTTTTTTTTTAATTGGCAGGATTTGAAAGTGTTATTGTAACTTCTTCGGTGACTCTTTGGTTGAACTGCTGAGGGCTGCAGTAGTGTATCCACTTTCAATCAGTCCATTTAAAAATACATTGTAAAAGGGAAAAGATACCGAAAAAGAAAACCAGGAATGAAAATGCTTAATCTTCTTTATTCAGGACCAAGCAAAACCTATACCCACAGGCTTCTCGATAATGTCACGGGTTAAATTAACTACACATTGAATTTTGGTCTAAAGATACATTTCATATTCTTAGAAGAGCATCTGCCGGATACCATTTTTTTTTTCCTATGGCATTTTTAATGGAGGCATTCAGCAACCAACTCATTTTGTCTGTATAATAATGGCAATATAGTAACTCGTTTTGCCTTGTGAAATGCTGTCAATTGCCAGCGCTGAACAACGCTGCAGATGCAGAATATTTTGTTACTCACTAAAGCAACAATTAGTGGCACACCCACTGGTGAAAAGTTGTATGAATTGACACAACTGGAGCCATTTGTGTGCTCACTCACTGTATTTAACAGATGCAAAATGGTGAGCATTGCAATAAATTTACTATACTGTATCTCATTTGTTTAGTTCATGCTGGTTTTTGCTGTATAATGGATACAGCTATTTAAAAATACCAGGGTTGTTTTTTGTCTGTTCGTTTGCTTCAGTACATTTGTGGAACAACAAGACATTTTGGAAAGCTTCAAATTCCCTATGATCACAAAGCCACATATTAGAGACTCCCTGATTATAAAGTTGATTACTTAATTAGGGCGTTTCTCATAACGTTGCAAAGCCAAAGCAAGTTGGAAAGGAAGGCATTTAGTAAAATGAACTACAAAAGTATGATTTATATAAAATGGTAAGAACTGTAAGTCAACTTGCTGCTGAGGGGTGGGGTGATTATATAACAAGCACGGTCAATGCAACTTGTTTGGAAGAGTTCCTTCCTCTAGAAGACCCACATCCTTAAATGCATTATTTAGTAGCACAGTATTTATCCATCAGTGGGGTGAGACTCTAGAATGAGTTACATTTGGACTAAAACTGAGGTTTCTGTTCTCGTTAATTATAACCATTGTGTCACAAGCTCAATTCATTTCAATAGTAAAGTACATTAAAAACCAGACTTCTGAATCAACTCACTTAAACAAGTTTCAGTTAGCAAAATGTGTACTATCTGGTTCATTAAAGTGCTGTTGTTTTTTCCCAATTCTATCAAAATGCTGCTTTAGGTTATGTGAATCTTTTGCAGAATCCTTGGACGTTGCAAACCATTTGTCATAATACCCTGGTTTGACCCATTTCTCTGCAGGAACACCCAACGATATACACATATTTTCAAGAGGTGATCATAAATATGTCCTCTAACCGAATGAGGTTTGGGAAGACAATGTCTGAGGGAAGGCACTTAAACAAATTGAAATAATAATATAGTGACATCAAGTGGGAGTTTCCAACATATGCCCTGTGAAGTTAAGATCCAGTTCCATACATTTATAAAAATTAAGGTTTGATCATGTGAAAGATGTGGAAATCCACTGGATTTTTTTAACCTATGTTAAAACCTATATATATATATATTTCTGTAGCATATACAGTAGTTGTTTATACAAAAGGTAGGAAACTGATGCACAGTCTCTGAACTGTTTTGCACCCTGGAATTTCTCACGATTATATAGCTGAAATTTAGTGGCAAATTGAGACTCTCACATAGATATTCATACAAGCAGACATATTGCTAGTGTGCATTTTGGTTCTGCTCTCTTGTATAATAACATCACTTCAGACTCCTGATCTCTCCCGCCGCCCCCCGCCCCCCCCAGTATGGGACCTGGCCATGCAAGATTGCTCCCTCCTGACTTAAAACATCGCTTCATTATATTGACTGGAAAAATATATATTAAAACTGTGTCCACAGGAGGAATAAAAAAGTCAAGATTGCAGACACGATGGAAGCTGTGCAAAGGGCATCTCTTCAATTGTGCGATTGCAGCTGCCATCTTGACTTTTTTGACTGCAAGTCAGTTGCTTGCGAATTGTTTTATTCAATATGATTGTGGAATTATCATCAGTCACATCAGGTGTGGTGATGGTCCTTCTGGGACGGTGATGAATTATACAAAATTATAATAAACATATTGAGGAAACATACGATGGAGATAACCTAGAATGCAGCTGGGACTATTTTGGTTGCCAAGTGCTAAAACGTGAAAAGCCACCAGTGCATTGGTGTAACTGCCACAAGATTTTGATAGGCAAGCGTCTGCCTGCATGTTTTGGGGGTAGTGTGGAAACAATGAAATCCAGTTTGTCTTTAGTTTTAGCTGGTGCGAGATCCATCCAATGGACGTTATTATTTCTACAATAGCTGAACAAATACATTTACTTACTTATTTTGTTAGTTATGCAGCCTGACATGGCCGGCCACTGCTGGAGTTGATATCAGCTGCATATAGAATGTGGGAAGTCTGAGAGGTTGGCAGGCTGGAGGATGATGGGATTTGCAGTACAATTAGGCAGCCCTAGGCTGGAGGATAGCTGGGAGGGGTGTGGATGCTGGGATTCAAATTCCAGTAACATCTGGAGGACAGCAGGTTGAGGACCTACCTGGGGACAATGTGAAGTCCAATCTTGCATCTGGAGGACACCCCTAGGGTTCAGCCTTGCTGGGGCTGTGGATGATGGGAGAGGCTGAGAGGCCGTCTAACTCAGGTGAGAATGATGTGAGCCAAAGTCCAATGTCGCATCTTGGGGTGCAGCTTTGCTAGGGCTGTGGGTGATGGGATCCATCTAGCTCAGCTGGAGATGACCCAATCTCCCATCCGGAAGGCCCCCACCAGGGTGCAGCCTTGCTAGGGCTGGGGATGATGGGAGAGGCTCAGAGGCCGTCTAGCTCAGCTGGGGGAGACCTGTACTGAAGTCCAATCTGGAGGGCACCCACCGGGGTGCAGCCTCGCTTCCGCTGTGGATGATGGGAGAGGCCTGGAGGCGTCTAACTCAGCTGGGGGGGA